TCCTGAATTGTTCGAGGCATGCAGAAAATACGAGGAGATAAGATCCAAGAACTAGGACGTCAAGGAGTTGACGCCGGTTTTTGACGCCATGACGACACTTACGACTTGACAGAGATCGGTTGAGTTTTAACAAATCCAAGAACAAGATTCCAGACTTCTTGGAAAAAGCTCTGAGGAAAATATGTGCGATGAATTGCCTTGGTACAGATGTAGAGTGCGATGAAATAAGCGTCTGCGATGAAGAAAAGTGACAAAATGCCACAGGCATGCGATGAAACAAAATGACTATGATGAGAAAAAAAAATTTGCGATGAGGTAAAGGCTCTGATACCATGTAAGGTGGTATTGATAACGGAAAACTTCTATATTCTTATGAGTTTCAACAAGTATTTATAGATGGTGTTTGGAAGTGTGGGCGTTTTTTGGGACCGATTAACAAAAAAAAAATGCCCATGCTTGCTAGACCTGTTTTCACAAAAAAAGAAAAATGCCATGATATGTTTAGGAGTGTTTCTGCCACATAGGCAGTGAACAACACTATGCTGTTTGGTAAGGTGATTTTCATCACCGCTTTTCATGTATGTGCTGATAGGTAAGCGCCATATAGGGGATACACATAATCGCCAATCAGTCAACCATTGGGGGCAACGGTTCACCAATGCATGAAATGCCAAATTTGATGTTTCATGCACCGGTGGGATCCTGATTTACGAGCCATGCCCGTTTTTCAGCGTTTTTCAAAGAAACCCTGAATGAACCATCATATATGTGGGCATTTGTTGAAACGCCTATGTGAATCCAACGTGGCACCATTTTTCAAAAAAATGGCCACACTTCCAAACATCCCCAAAATTACAAAGATAGTCGGTTGCGGTATAACAACCCAGCTAACCGACTGGACTACAAGGTGGGCCCAAGACTCTAATCCTAACACACTTTATTACCCAAAAAGAAAATATAACCACTTAAAAAAGTGAAATATATAATGGCAATCTCTACTTAACTATTACGGGAGATATTTATATTTCCGATGTGATGTGTGGCTGGACGCCATACCAAGAGTTTTTGTTTTTGAGGAAATCCAATCCGAGTTCACATCTGTGCCCTACAATGTCCCACAGCGCATCCCCGCCATATATTGGGAACATCTCCCAATGATACTATTAGACCCGATAATGTCATAATCGGGAGATGTTCCCAATACAAGGCGGGAATGCGCTGTGAGACGTTGTGAGGCGCCCCGTCGTGGGGCACAGATCTGAACTCATCCAATCCATGCTTGCAAAGATGTTTCCTGCAAAAGTTTATCTTATTTTTGACACATGGAGGGATGATGTGATTAAACAGCCCTCTGGATTTGCCACTTGTAAAGTCAAATTAGTCCGTGTCATCTCTATACCCAACCTTAGCCGATATAATTGAGATAAGACTTTGGATGAACATGACCACTTAGCATCTATCTCAAGTTACATCAGCTATAAATATAAATTTAAGGGGTTTTCTTTAGAAAAATACCAAACTGATTGATACAGTTAATCACATTATTAGGTTCAATTTGTTTTTCGGTTTTTATTATGAGCACCCGTACATAAACACCTCGTTCTTTTGCACGGCTCCTCTCCCCATTCACATGTGCATGACAGATTGACAGCTAAACAGTAAGTTTGGGCGTTATGTCTTCAATTTTGTTTTGAAATTAAACAAAATATGAAAGATTAGATTGAAGAGAGAAAGACTTTGAAAATAAACAAATTAACAAAATGAATAGGGAAACTCGAACTAAGGGCGTGCAACCCTAAGTGGAAGGACACCATTAATAAGTGATTTGCAAGAAATCATCTTTCAAATAGATCATTCCTCAGCCGAAGAGGCAAGAAATCATTTCAAGGGTGGGAGTTTTGCAAAGAGAGTTTGTATTTTGTTCTTTAAACTTTAATCTTCACTCGAGGGTGGAATCATTATTTTTTCTTCAATCTTTGGTCAAGGGCATGAGTCATTTGCAAAGAGTATTTTCTTTGTCACACTCCAAGGAAAAGGAAGGTACAAGGTTATCTATTCATTGCTTCAACTTCATGGACTCCATTACAGAATAGTCTCTGCAACCTCTTATTATGAATCAGTCCAACAGTTGTTTAAATGCAATAAAACATATATATAGACAAAAAATTATGGCAAATCTTTCAAACCATTCCAGTTGCCAAAATCCCTGATGAACTAATACAATTTCTTACGTTATACTAGTAGATCGATATGACGCTCCATCAAAGGAGGATCAAGATGCACTTAATCGAATGACTTCAAATGAATTAAAAAGTTCCATATATCAACTTAGATCTGGGTTGTATGCTGTGTTTATTTAGACAGTGAAAACAAGTTGTCTTCAACTCAAAATATTATGTCATCTTTTTTAACTTCCGTTTTGATTCCAGTTGAATTTCTAACCCGTGTATCTCGCCCTTTTCCAGAATAATGTCAAACCTAATTCTTTGAACATTGGGTTTAATTTTTAATGGTAGATAAAATAGATACTTCTCTCTCGAATGTTTGCCCAACCATGACCCATATTTGTTGAACTTCCGTTTTGATTCTAGTTAAAACCTCTCACTCGTCAACTTTTTCCTTTTATTAGAATAATGCCTAAACCAATTCTTCCAACATTGGGCCTAACTTTTAATAGTAGATAAAATGGATACTTCTCTCTCAATAATGATTCCCCAACCATGACCCATCGACTAGAGTAGACTCATCGATGTATGTCAAAATATTTTGAAGGGAAAATTCTTAATCTGTACTTTAGGGATTGTGTCAAGTCAGTCATTGAATTTCAAAACGTGTCTTTGCAGTCCTTAATCTTGTTATAATTTAAAAAATGTCAAAACTATCATTTTAAAATCATAAATTTTAGTCCCAGAATGATTTAGCAAGGTTGATTCATGCTGCAGCTGGCCTTGTTCTCCTTGGGTAGTCTGAAGAAGCACGCAGTCTTTTATCAGATTCAGGAGCAGCGGATCAACTACTGGATTGCCTGCATTGGAAATAGGTATTGATTTCGAATCGTGAATCTCTCTCGGCTTACTGTGCTTTTCACAATCGGGGTCTTGCTGGGTTATCTGTCTTTATGTACGTTTCTTCTGATTCTGAATTGAATTTTTAGAAAAATCATGAACTCCATTGATAACAACGGGAATATCTACAATACCCAGATGGGCATGGGTGTTGTCTCATTTCTGTGTTACGAAATGACCGGGAAGGGGGAAGAAATGAACTAGTGTGCGAGAGAGCGAGTGCTTAAGGAGATTAATGATGGCATAGATGCTGGAATAGTCTTGGTTGTCGGAAGGTGGAGGTTTGGCGAAGAGAAGACCCTTTTGGATGTAGTTTACGGTGAGCATGACGATTGACGAGATCTCATGGGTTCACGTAGTAAAGCTGACTTGATTCATTGGGAAGATGTGGTGGTTTGACGGAGCATCTAGATATGTGACGAACAGTAACAGGAGTTGTCATTGGCGTTGTGACCTGTGACACAAGTTTTGATGGAGCGTTTCTCTCTCGCGCTCTCTTCTTCCTGTCTTGATTTTATACATGAACAAGACTTGGACTGTTGCATTTTTTTTATTTCTTTACCCAAAAAATTGTAGCGCAACACGCCAGCGAGCCAAGAAAGTACGTAAGCTCCATAACTGTTGCAATTGAAGTTGGTGACAAGTGCAATTACTTATAACTTTCACTTTTTCACAGCTGCACTAACCTTACTTGAACTTTGACCAGTCCACTACATTTCGATTAAATTGATCCCTTAATTCAACCTTGAGAATGAGCTTACGCGAAGACACGGTTCGTGAAGACACTGCTTATCATGGTTCTCTCAATACATAACAAATTTTCATCGGTTACATAAAATTAAAAAAAATAAAATAAAGAATATACAGGAAACCGTAATAATGGCAGTTTTAATCATTGTCCAAACTTAGTAAGTTTCCAGTATAGTTTAGATTAGGCGACAAAGGGGCGCCTTGTCACTTAGTCACGTAGGCAATGGATTTTTTTTTTCAGTCATATTTCCTAAATAAATATTCATAATTTTTATAAGAAAAATATAAATTTTATGTTAAAATATAGAAAATCAACATATTCCAACATATTTATAAGAAGAAAAAGAAAAAAAAATTAAAAAAATATGAACTAAACCCCTATTTCTATTATAGGAAAAGATAAAAAAAGGAAAGGTAGAAGAAGAAGAAGAAGAAGAAATTAGTATATAAACACGGAAAATTAATAAAAAAAGAAGAAAATGTATTGATTGGACAACATTTTATGTTCTTTCTTACTTATTGATTCAAGTTTTAAAGTCTTTTAGGGTTTAATACAGCATTTAACAATGTTTGTATTGATTAAACCCTAACAAATAAGAAAATAATAAAAAAATAATATATAAATAAAAAATAAATATTTTAATTTAAAAATGTCTATTTTATAATTATAACCTCAAAAGATTAAGAATATAAGAGTTTCCGAATAACACACCATAATAAACTGCTTGACAATTAAACAAGTCAAGCCTCCAAGGGCACCTAAGCATCGCCTTGACAATTATGATTTTCATTACCATTGCCTGTTCTGTCACGTAGCAAGGCATCGCCTTGACAATTATGGTTTCCATTAACAAAGACCTATTAGATACATATTAATACTTGAAAGTTTTAAGATACTACATAGACAGGTTTTGAAATTTAAAACAAGGTTTAAAGTATCAACATGTATCGACCCATATTAACTGATATATATCGTTCTAGCACCCCACTGATACACCCCTACAGTGGGTATCGGTGGTCTGACCGATTCAGGGTGTAGCGAAGACCTAAACCGACTCCCCTGAACCATTTGACAAAAAAAAAAATACCAAAAGAAGTATCGATTCGCCCAATACGCCCATACTAACATATCGGACATACCGATATTTTGAACCTTGATTCGGAGACTGACTTAATACACATCGGTACTGCTAAAAAATTTTCCTATTTTCAATTTCCATGTTCGACTGTTGAAGTACATACCCAATACAGATCGCTTTACCAGTGAAACGTGAGCACAAGTGAAACCCCAAAGTGTTGAAAAACCAATGCAGGAGTGGATTCCAAACGTTATAATTGATTTACTTTACATTTTGGGTACACTTGTTGGTTGTTACCATTCAATCAGAAACATGAAAAAACGTATGTTTCTAACTTTCAGCAGCTCTAAATATAGTGAGCAGAGAAAGGAACAGATTGATGACGTCCAGATAGAGAGAAACAGCAGCCCAGACGTACTCGTCGTAAGAGTAGCGCTTGATCAAGTTGTCAGTGTCATAGATTATGTACCCACAGAAAATGATGGTTGCTAGGACGCCATAAATCATCACCGAGATTTTACCCAAGGGGAATAGTATCTGCAGGCCCATAGAAAAAAAACGCAAATCCCATATTTCAGAAGCCGTAACGCAGGAGATCAATGTCCACTTGATGGAAAATAAGTTGCAATACTACACATACCTGAATGAAGGCAAAGACCATGAGGGCTAATAAGGAACCAAATAGGAAGGGCCCCAGGAAGTTAAAATCATGGCCCCTCTTGGCTGCCCAAAATGTATAGAGTGTAAGGCTCAGAACCACCGCAGCCGTCAAAATTGCAGACTCCAAAATAATCTTCCCTGATGTCAAATAAGAGAATCAATCATTAATACCTGACGAACTTTCAACTGAGGCAAATATAGAAAGATTGAACTTCATGCAACAAACCAACAAGGACACAAGATTTTTGTTCTGTTTTCTTGTTTTACAAGAGTGTTCAAGATTGAATTCAATGCCAAGTAGAGGTTTAAAGCTCCAGAATGGGGGAACCATACGAGGCTGAAAAGAACTCCAATACGCAGCATACCTCTGTTGTATGAGTAGTCAGAAACTACATAAACATCTCACTGGAACATTAGCCCTTCAACAAATAAAAAGCCCTACGGCCATACAAAGGAAGTGAGAACAATTAATGCATGGCATTTTTTATCAACATCGGTTCATCCTCCATCTGTTAGGCCTATCCATTATTGGGAATGTCGAAATTTAACTATGGTTTTAAAATGTATGTTGGGCCATCTCAATGATTTTTATTGAATACAACATTTTCTTCTATTTACATTCAACATACCAAAGTTTTCGATATGTGTTTAAATTCTATTAATCACCTATCACTGGGGACACGTGTGCGATAACACTGGCCCCATGAATATAAAATTTTCTTGTGTCTAATTTCCATGAAAGCCCTATGTGTATGGAAATTTTCTTGTGTCTAATTTCCATGGAAGCCCTATGTCTAATTTCCATGAATATAAAATTTTCCACTTTGTTTGGTTGCAGCTAGACTCCTGCTAATTTGGGTGGTTTCTTTAGTTCTCATACTTTCCAGGGGCTCTAAAAGAAGAGGAAGAATCATGGGAAGGTGCACTAGAGCAGCAGTGGTCTGGACAATTTGGGAAGAAAGAAACCCAAGGATTTTTTTTATGATAAGGAAGGAAGCAAAGAAACTGTGATCGAAGTGGTAACTCTAAGGGTGGCACATTAGGTAAAAACATTAAAGTTGTTTGCTAACTTTAAGACGAGATTTTTTAAGATCTTGGGGAACAATTACTAACACTGCAACTAGAAAATTTAAAACAAATGAGGTCTAGTCCCCTCTAGCGGCTGGAATGAAGGAAATTAAACTTTGATGGTAGCTGTATGGGAAATCCTAGCCCATCAGGCATTGGTGGAGTGATAGGGGAAGAGAATGGGAATATCTTATCCATGTACTCAGGTGATGTGGTGAGATCAGAACTGATGGCAGCAATGTATGGTGTTGAAAAAGTATTAACAGGCTGATTATTGAAGGGGACTCAAAGATTGTTGATTGACTCAAAATGGGGGAAGGAGTAATATGGAAACTGCGCTTCAAGCAAATATCTAAAGACATTGATACAAATTAGATGGGTTAGGAGATCAGGTAACAGTATGGCTGATGGGCTAGCTAAACAGGGGATTCAAAGACAAGCTGGTTTGTAATTAATGGTTTTTTTTCTTTTGGGCTTCTCCTTCTGCCTACAACTTCTTGTTGTATATGCTTTTTTAATTTAATCGATAAATAAATTCTGAGTTGCTAATCAAAAGAAAAAAAATCACAGCAGGCATTTTGTCACCACTGTTAATTATATCCTGTGCAGTGTCATCAAAGTGTTGAGGATCAGATTGATTGCATCACTAACTAGTCAGCCAACACTCATGATGCAGTCGCCTAGGACAACTAAGAATGAACTAGGTCAAATAGTCAACATAATCAATCACAAAGTCATTTTAAATCGTTGTTTGTCTGTACACATAATTATTTGGTCTCTTTTTTTCAAAAAAAAAATATTTTGTTTCTTGGTATACTTATAAAGGTCTTTTTGTACATACTGAGGGTGGTTTGGCCTCCTTTCAGAAGTCAATTTATACTCTTGCCTATCAAAAGAATATTTGAAATAATATAGAATGTCTGCATTTTGTTATATTTATGTTATTGCTTTAAATATATGTGATACATGATTGGATGATAGCATATAAAATAGAAAAAAGGCATAAAATAAAAGAACGCAGTGAAGGATTTCTTTTAGTTTTTTTTCCCAATAAGTTTGTGTTTGGTATTGAATTGCCACAAACAAAGGGCATATTGAATAATCAAAGTTGCACACTTTCTTGGAAAATTTTTATTTGTTTGAAAACATCATACTTTTCTTGTATAAAGCATAATTGTAGCCTGTATAAACTTACGGGTAAGTTGCTTAAACCTCTCCTGTGTTTTCTGATAAATTCTGTAACTTACCCTACACTTTGACCTCTCCAAATTTCTCCCTTCACATATTCGAGAAATTATACAAACAAACCCATTATATTAGTTTGACGTTGAGTATGTTATACCCCTACTACCTTTACAACAGAAAATACCAACTTTACCCTTTGATTATACTTTCTTCAAAATAAGGTTCAAAATATCGATATGTCCAATACGCCAGTAGAGGCATATCGGGCAGGATCGGTAGTTTTTTTTTTTTTTTAAATCCGATTCAGAGGGGCTGGTTTAACCCCTGAACCGGTCAAAACCCCAATACACCCTCTGTAGGGGCATATCGGGAAGCTCCCAATACGGGCCGATATGTATCGATATTTTGAACCTTGCTTCAAAATGTCAGGGGAGAAATTTAGAGAGGTTAAAGCATTTATCAGAAAATACGGGTGATTTAAGTAATTCACCCATAATTTATTAATGGGATTGTATCAATATCTTAAATTTAAAACATATTTTTTTATCATCTAATCAGTAGCTAGACATGACTAGTCATTGCATCAATTAGAGAGGCCTAAATGACTAGTCATCACTTCACCGCATTTATATCATTGATCCTGTGATGCATCTAAACCACCTTCATGAGTCGGGACAGCAAAGACATCTAAGTTTTATTGTTGTTGGATAAAATTTTCTGATTTTTTCCCAAGTAAGCAATCAGGAAAGCTGGCAGGATCTCAAGGTTGTCCTAAATCCTAATGTTTTCTTTGACGCTTCATTCTTCTAGAATAATACTTTTGCCTACCAAGAAGTAGTTCTAATGATGCCTTCCCAAAACTAAACTTGTTCGTTTGTTTTCAGAAATCAGCAGTATAAACGAAAGTTCCAAAACAGTATCCAGAGAAAAGTCCCTGTTTTAATAAACCCTCCATACAGTAGTCCCAAAGTTGAAATGCCGTAGCCAGGTGTTCACAAAGATCCATATTCTTAAAGTGTAGGTGAAGGAAACATATCTTCCTTCAACTACAATCTAATTGTTGCACGTCTAAATTCCAACTAAATGTTCTTATCTGGCTCTGATACATATATCAGAGGAATGATACTCAGAGTACAACCAAAGTTCAAGACCTAAATGAAAATTAAGGCTTTTAAAGGGCATGTTTGACATTTATTAAACTGTTACATAAATTTCTTCTCTGAGATCACATAAACTTCATATATATCACCAAATGATCCATCAACCAGCACTATTTCATCCAGCCATAACTTACAGAGGGGGTTTGTTCCAACTTTGCACAGAACTAAAACGCTTGTATTTTGTTCGTTTTGTTTTTTGTCCTCCTATGCAAGCAAAATTGGGATGCTGTTTGCAACTAGGCGTTTTTAACTAAAACTAGGATTCCTATAATTAATCAAGAAAAAATGGAAAAGATTAAACAAAGGCAACAAATTCTTACCACTCGTAAATGCACACGTCAATCCAACAGCAAAAGCAAGTGACACTGTGAACAGCCCAAGAAGTAGCAAGTTCACAGGATGCCTCTGATAATAGTAGTACAGCGGGCAGAGAACTGTGGAAGAACAAAAAAAAAAAAAAAACAGAAAAGAAAAGAAAAAAACTGAGATGAGTTCAAACGAAATGTCCAGAAAAGTAAACAAAAAGGGGACAGAAATTGAGATTTACCAATGAAGGGCAATATAATGATAACTATGTATAGAGCAAAACCGGGCCCAGAGGATACAAAGAAGGTTGCGATCGGATGAACGGATACAACGACGGCAGCAACAGCAATGGTGAGAAGCAATTGGATGGTCAAGATGGAGTAGACCTTACGAATGAAGGCCCAGCGGAGCTCTGGACTCTCTAGCATCATAGGATAGAGTTGGCGGCTCCCAGCCTCGACGTCGCCTGCTTTTCCGTACGACGGTGGCCACATCTTCGCAGGATAGTGAGTCGATAGGAAGAAGAAATGGTTAGGGCGGTAGGCGGTTGTGGTTGCAGAGAAGAAGAGGCGAGAAATTAGGGCTTTTTGTAGGTTACGTTTTTTTAACTTTCCTTTGCCGATAAGCTTCGAGTCTAGCGACTAGCGGAGGAAGGATAGAGGAAGGAATTGTCTCCAATCTGCGGTAGCGCTAGCGGATGGGGGCACGTTCGTTTCCAACAATACAATCTAGCTTTATCCTTAATCGGTTGATGTCTTGATGATGCACGCAGGCGCAGCACGCGTTTTAAATTAGTCGTGATTCAACTTTGGAAACTTCGCGACCTCTCTCTCTCTCTCTCTCTCTTGGGTTCGCGACCTCGAACACTCCACTCCACAATTTTCCCTGCACGATACGCCACGTCATTACCGCAAACGTGGGTTTCCACCTTGGATTTCGCCGTTTCCACTTTCCATTGCCAGAAAACACGTATAAATTGACACGTGGGTACGTGGGCATGACGTGGTAAATCATGATTGGTCCAAATATCCTCCGGTTCCCGGAGAGAATCAGTTGGTTGAGGACTGGTGAGAAAGCCGTTACATCACACGTTGAAGGAACCGCAAACGCGTCGCTTTTATCTTCCGAGCAAAACATTTCTTAGTGAGCATTCATTCAAAAAAGAAAAGAGAGTGCCACGCGGCCCACGCGGACGCGCCCACAGATACGGGACCCATGCTCATGCTGGAATTATTTTGATAACGTTGAAGGAGTTGAGGTATTTGCTCCATACGCAGGCACCGACCTCACAGCCACATCTCACCATGCATCGGAATCTCACGGGAACATTTCCCGTAAATAATAACGTATAAATACGGAAAATATTCCTAATGCATGGTGGGATGTGCATTGGTACGAGGCACGTGAGGAGCAGATCCGGTCTCGATCTAAATTAGGGATGGTAATTTTCCTCATTTTTCGGATTCCTGTGGATATTTGCCCTGAATAGGACGAGGATGGGGATGATTTTCCCCCGCAACCGCAGGGATAGGATAGAGATTTTCATTCCCATTAACAAGGATGAAGAGACCACTCCCCACCCCGCGGGGATCCCGATCCCCGCCCCATATGTATATGTATATATATATATATATATATATATATTTAAAAATATGATTGAATGTGTTTGAATCTTTTCTAATAGGATTGTAAATTTTAATTATTTAAATAAAATAAAAAAATAAAAAACAAATTAAATGTTAACATTATAAAAAACCACAGGGAATGGGGATCCCCGTGGGGACGGGGATGGGGATAACCTTGTCCCCGTTAGAGGGGACGGGGATGGGGAGAGGCTCCCCGTCCCTGCCCTACCCTACCCTGTTGGCATTCCTAATCTTAATTAGGGTCGTCAATGGACTCAAAAAATCGGACATCCAATTTTGAGATCAGCTTCCTTCAAGGCAAGTCCATGCCCACACCGTTCCAACCGCCTTTTGCAACCTTGCATTGGGAATATTTCCCCATGAAATAAAGCACATAAGCAGGGAGATATTCTCAATGCAAGGTTGTGAAGACTGCTCGAACGAGCTTTGGTACTATTGTTGTTTCTTCAGAAAATGAAAAAATTAGAGGGTGTTTGGAACTATGGGCATTTATTCAATAAACGTTGCCACATAGGCACCACTTTAGCAGTTCCCCTCTCATGCTCTTCCATACGCATCGAGAATAGCAAAAGGTGACTTCAGTTTCTGTGCACACCTACCGTTTGGGGAAGTTAATTTTTAAAGCTTCCTTAAACAGTTAAGCGTTTTTTCACTGTTATGTTGATGTGGTGCCTAATTGTCATAAACGGTTATAATTATTACCTTTCTCGGTTTTGCAAACAAATAAAGTACAAACGTTGAATGAAAAAACGTAAACAGAACCAAACACATACTTATGCTATGTTTGGTTTTATAGACGTTTATTGAAAAACTGCCACTACATCAGTGCCGCATAGGCATTGGTATTTATTGCATATGAAACCACTATTTGGTTTTATTGTTTATCAAATAAATACTAAAAAACTGAAATGCTTTGATTTATTCTTGAAATGAAATGCTGATGTGGCACACTTTAAGCCGAGGTGGAAAGCAAATTTATAGGATGTTACTTGAAACTCCCGTAACCCAATCAAATAGAAAAAGCAAAAAACGTTTAAAACCGTGTTTTTCAAATAAGCGTTTAACTGATAATGATGGTTATCTGATGTGATGTGACAAGACCATTTCTCAAAACTTTTATTAACCAACCAGAAACGACAGTGGTTATTTGAAAGCTTTTTCATGCTCTAGCTGAGAGTTCCTGTGCATCCCGATCTCTTTGATCTACCGTAAGTCACAGAAAGTACTCGTCTTTCTCCTATCGTGTCAATGGAGGGAGATAAAAAGAAGAAGGTGATGGTGGATGGGCACGTAACGGAAAAAAGATTTTAAAGAAGGATCAGGCAATGTTGGCTGGCCAGTGCAATTTATATGCAAAAATGGTATTGGGCAAACCACTAAATGTTGGAGTGATTTAACTGTTAATCAAGTTGTGGTGGTGGGGACGAAGGATGAGTATGTAGCTTAGAAAATCAACAATGAAGTCCTCTGGATTCAGTTTGGTAACACTAAAGATAGGGAAGATGTCCTCAACAACGAACCCGGTACTATCAAAGAATACGCCTGGCCTTCTGTTAGTAAAACTCCGACGACAAAACCCAGTAGTCTCGAGCTCAACTCTTTGGGCATGTAGGTTAGAATAATGGATATCACGGTAGACTATATGACAAAGGAAATTGGGGAAATGCTTGCTATGAAGGCAGGGGAGGTAATAGCAATGGAAGACAAGGCTGGGAGGAATAGAAGGAGAAGACCAACATGGGAAAAAATACTAAGGGTTGGGATTCAAGTTAATGTGAACCAGCCTTTAGCGAAAGGATTGTGGGGAATACTGGAAGAAGGGAAAGAAGAGGAGTCCCCTTTTAAATATGAAAAGTTACCATTATTCTGCTATACTTGTGGTTTCTAGGGACACAGTGTTAAAACTTGTTCGTAGGGTGAAAAGCCAATAGAGAAGGAGGTTGAAGTTCTGCTGGGTAAGCTAAGTAGCAGTATTATGGAGGACTCAAATGGACCATCGGACTATGACCTATGGTTGAAGGTGGATGTTAGTAAAGAAGATGCGAAGACTCTTAACAAGATTAGAGGAGAAATTGTTAACAAGACTGTGCATGGTGAGAAAACGGGAAACTTGCAGAAAATGGCTGGAGAGCTTGATTCAGAATCAAAGAATAAAAAGGCTGAAGGGGTAGAGTTGCAATAGACCAACCATGGTGGATGATGTAATCGTTTTTGGTCACGTACCATTTTTTTGTGATGTAAATTTTTTTTTTGGCTAAATACCTCGTTATTTGACCTGGTGGTGACGTGCCTTGGTGATGAGCTACTTGGTGGCAAACTCCCTGGTGGAGAACTGTCTGATGGCGAGCTCCCTGGTGGAGAGCTACTTGGTGACGAACTGCTTGGTGGAGAACTGCCTGGTGGAGAACTGCCTGGTGGCGAGCTCCCTGGTGGCGAACTGCTTCGTGGCGAGCTCTCTGGTGGCGAACTGCCTGGTGGCAAGTTCCCTGGTGGAGAGCTACTTGGTGGCGAACTCCCTGGGGGAGAACTGCCTGGTGGCGAACTGCCTAGTGGCGAGCTCCCTGGTAGCGAACTGCATGGTGGCGAGCTCCCTGGTGGCGAACTCCCTGGGGGAGAACTGCTTGGTGGACTCGTCATTTGACCTGCTCCTAGGCGGCTTGCAACTCAGAGGATGGTGGAGCTCCTTGGTGCAGCGCAACCTGACTGCCCTCTGCATGAGGTGATTTCCTCTCCTTTGTAGGCGGCGGGAGCTGAGGGACCTGCGAGAACTGAATCAGAGGACCCGAGGGTATTTTCCCGACAGGGACTCTCCGATGCCTAAGTTAGCATTCTGATTATAGAGAACTTGGAGAGAAATGAGAGAGCTAGAGAGCAGGGGTTCTCATCCTTTTTCCCTCCTTGTCTTTGGGGGTCGGAGCCCTTATATAGTGGTGTCCTTGCGGGTTAGGTGGGTGAAAAGCCTTCAAACAGTAAGACTCGTCATATCCCGTCAGAACCAGGGTACGGTGGTGAACTCCTCGAGGTTGTCAGGCTGGCGCTTGTGTCAGGCGGCCAGGTCGGCGCCTG